CCCCAAAACCCCAAAACCCCAAAACCCCAAAACCCCAAAACCCCAAAACCCCTATTTAAAGTTTGGAAATAGAATTGGGTAAGTATTATAGTTAAAATTTTATGAGTCTAATTATGGATCAACAATCAAACAACAAACCAAACTTTTTCCAGAAATCGCCACAGATTTCGTTTGCAGAGAGCCCTGCTTTAAGCTTATTTAAGGGCTTCAGTAAGAATTTATTAGGGAGTAGTAATTTGAACTTGACAAAGAAGGTATCAGATATCTCTTTACACAAACCATCTCCCTGCCTTTCATCAATCAAGCCGACACCTCAGTACGATCCCTTTAGTTTTCTTGGAAATGGGCCGGAGAGCCTGGCGCTAGACACTAAGCCAATGAAGTATATAAAGCTTGACTTCCTTCCTATCGGATCACCTGAGATAAATTTTGTTCTGGGTCCCCCAGCAATGGATCTACAACAGAAAGGGACCAGCACAAAGAGTAATTTATTGGAACCCTCGAAATCAATGTTTGCTAAGCATACTCAAGTCCCTTCTGATGAGAAGATTGCCATCAAGCATATCCAGAATGGTGGCCCCACTATCTATGTGACAAATAAGAGAGTTAACAGAATTCTTAAGAGACGGAAGAAGAGAGTCGCCTTCTTGATTGAACACCCTGAGTTCTCCCTCCCCTACAAGTTCAGAACAAAAGGGCCTAGGCATGAGAGTAGATCTAAAAGTGCCAAAAATCGAAGGAGGAAAATCGATGGTAGATTCGCTAAAGTCGGTGATGTTCCGATCGATTTTACCGTGTCTATTAACGACCCTAACTTGAGGAGCTCAACGCGAGATCAGTCTGAAGAGGACATAGTCCGAAATAATATTTAAGCGATCATGAAATGAGTTCTTGTGAAGGATGAAGTTGGCTAGAAGTCCATCTATATTCTCCTTCATGGCGAACTCGCTTATGAATGGCTAATTTTAAACATAGCTAATATATTCTATAAACTATCCATTGAAAGGGGTTTTGGGGTTTTGGGGTTTTGGGGTTTTGGGGTTTTGGGG